CCTCTCTCTCTCTCTCTCCCTCTCTGCCTGCTTCTTTCTACTGTCAGCAGCTACCAGCAGTGTTTCTGAAGCCTAATCAACATCCTACTGTTAGTTAGCTTAACACCTCCTGATTGTAGAGTCTAACCAGTGAGATACTGTTTTTTTTCTTTCAACTACATCAAGCCTAATAGTGAGAGCAGGAAAACAGAAAAAGGTCCCATTTCTCCTTTTCTGTCTTGGCCTTTTTCCTGTTTCTCAACGCCAGATGGATATATCCACTTTATTACTCTGTCTTAACTTCTGATATCGCCAAAGCTTGTGATACATACCAAAAAAACATAACTACATACTCATATGGCTTCCAGGAGTTTTGAAGGAAGACAGCATGAAAGCATTAATATTAGATGCATTCATGCTTGGATCTCTCGTAACTCAAGGCAGGCAAGGCAAGTTTATCTATACGGCACCTTTCATACACTGCGGTCATTTAAAGTGTTTCACAAATGAGAAAATACAATAATAATTCAAATAAAAAAAAAATTAAATATTTACACGCTTGAGCTAGCTAGTTTTCTCTCCATGAAAGGAGTGGGGGTGAGACATAATATGACTGGTTAATATTATTTAGCCCTGCCTACTGGTGCACAGTGACATAAACAATAATCAGAAAGCATTTTAGAGGCAGAGGAAAGTCATTTCAATAGAAGATGAATTGTGCTTATATGAGCAGAGACACAAACTGATGATGTGCATTTACTTTTATTTATTTATTAATTTTCAGTATCTTTGGGAAAACATATTTTATGCTCTGTCATTTTTTATTGTTATTTGAACGTGAATGTCTTTGTCTTTTATTTATGTTCATACCCTTTGAACTGTTTACGTAATAACAGGGGTGTAGCACCAAAATTTGGGCCCCTAGGCACAGTAAGGTGCCCAGCCCCACCTCCCCTCTCCAAAGACAATAAAGGAAAGGTAAAAAAGTAGTTTATTTATTATTTGTATATCTTTGTGAGGTTGGTTGGTACACATTAGGGTTTAAACAGCTGAAAATAAGGAAAGTGTGACTGAATCATTAATCTTGCTGTACTTGAATAAGGATTAGACTTAAACTTGATTTCTGTTCAAAATAATCAATGTTAGAATCAATGATGGAATATCAAAAGAGAAAAACTAAAAACAATGTGAATGTAACGACTGCCAATATTATTATTATTATTATTATTATTATTATTATTACAAAGTTGAAAGGATTTGCAGAATGCTAGCATGTAAGTATGAGTTAAGAGCATCATGTTGAGGGTTATATGGTCAGTCTGAATGAAAGAGGCCCTCACTGTCTGCTGATCTGTACTGAGTTTAATCCTGTTAGTTAAAATATCACTGCCAAGTGGGCTCTGAAACACTCTGTGTGTGGCTAATAACTCATATAAGTTTGTTTGTAGTGTTTGTATAGTATTTGATGTGTATCATATTTAATGTGTAGTATAAATTGATTAAAATATGCCAACATTTTCGTAAAGCAGGCATCTTAGACATCAGGCAGTGAATTCATAACCATTTACTGTAGTAACTTTCTGTGAGGGAGCTTTTAGAGGTGGACGTCTGGTTCCTATCACCACCACTGTGAACCATTCTGACTCGGTAAGTTTCTTTAGAACAGAGCGTTTCACACCAAACCACCCTGAACCGCTCTGTTTACATCTCAACCATTTAATATAATTTTTTAAAAAATCGGTGGAGTTCCCCTTCAGCTCAAGCTGCGAGTTGCCTGAATGAACTCTCGGCGCTGGACGCCGCTCCGCTCTATGTGGAGCCGTCCACGCTCAGCGCCCGTCGCCATAGAGACGGCGTCATTCGAATTCTCCCACTCTGCGCTCTGATTGGCTGAGGAGGCTGTAGCTCTGGCAGCAGCAGCGTGTGATTGGTGGAGTTGGTGATCGAGTGGGCGGTCTTGTGTCACAGCAGTCAACATTCATTACTCACACAGACGCACACGGGTTAAACTAAAGCGTTTCCTGATTTATTTACCGATTTGCTTATAAACGGAGTATAAAGTTGCGCCGTTCACTTCAGTTTAATGTAGTCTCGCTTCATTTAATCCTCCTCAGACAGAAAAACAGCCAGGACAGGCGGATTGATACTGCAGCGTCGATACTTCTGATCCTGACAATCCTTTATGAGAATTGACCCTCAAACCCAAATGTCTATGCTGAGTGTTTGCATCAACTAATAAATAAATTAATAAATTTAGTAAATTAATAAATGAGGTGTTTCTCATATACACCATCAGCCATAACATTAAAACCTTGTTTCTACACTTACTGTCCATCTTATCAGCTCCACTGACCATACAGGAGCCCTTTGTAGTTCTACAGTTACAGACTGTAGTCCATCTGTTTCTCTGCACACTCTGTTACCCTGTTCTTCTATGGTCAGGACCCCCACAAGACCCCCACAGAGCAGGTATTTTTTGGCTGGGTCATTCTCAGCACTGCAGTGACACTGACGTGGTGGTGGTGTGTTAGTGTGTGTTGTGCTGGTCTGAGTGGATCAGACACAGCAGTGCTGCTGGAGTTTTTAAACCCCTCAGTGTCACTGCTGGACTGAGAATAGTCCACCAACCAAAAATATCCAGTCAACAGCGTCCTGTGGGCAGTGTCCCATGACCACTGATGAAGGACTAGAGGATGTCCAACACAAACTGTGCAGCAGGAGATGAGCTATCGTCTCTGACTTTACATCTACAAGGTAGACTGACAAGGTAGGAGTGTCTAATAGAGTGGACAGTGAGTGGACACAGTGACTGCAATTGAAAGCAGTTTTCCAAGTTCAGTGAAAGCTCTTGGCACCTGAAGACCGATCCAGTTTGATTACTTTCAGTATTTACAGAGAGCGTTGATGTGATGTAAGATGGCCTATATAGACAGTAGTGGATTACTGGGACCCCCACAAGGTGGTCTAAATAAATATTAGTGATTTATTTGGCTACATAGGCACAGCAGCTTTGCAGAGCTGGACACCTGTAATAGTATCCAGAGCTCTTATGTGTGTGCAGGACAAAAGAGAAAAACTGTTTCTGAGTCCTGTGATCAAGGTCAGCGCACTTTGTGCTCTGGATCTACAGTAATTAGGTTAGTATGTGTATCGGAGAGCAAACTGCACTGGACGTTATGTGGGTCAGTAGAATGAGGGTGTGTCTGTCAATAGAGTTGCACTGACTGACCTCCACACAAACACAGCGCACTAACATAATACGCATTAACACTGTCTCTCTACACTCCTTCACCTCTCACTCTCTCTCTCTTGCTCTCTCTCTCTCTCTCTCTCTCTCTCTCTGCACCAATCACTGCTCTGTAAACTGCAGCTGTCTGGTCTCCACAGACACTAAACTTTGAGCTTAGACTTTGAAATGTGTATATATAAACTAAAATACAGTACTGTGCAAAAGTTAGAGACCACATTTCATAGTACTGTTTATCTGATGGGGACAGTTTTGGTGGTCTCCTAGGTTTTGTTTGGAGTCTGTAGCTTTTAATTTCTCTACATTTTTGAACTCCAGTTTTGAAAACTCCTGTTTTTGTTACTTATTTTTGTTTGACATCCTCCTCCCTAATGCAACTGTATTATTTTATATCTAATCTCCTCCCAAATATCTGTTTTACACTACTACTATGACAGTGTCATTGCTGTGCTGAGATTGGTCCACCATCCAAATAATACCAGGTTAGCAGCAGTCTTGTGGTCAGAAAGTGACCTTTAATAAATTGGGTGGAGGGGGTCTTGTGAACTGCAGCAACAGACAGACTATAGTCTGTAACTGTACACCTACGTAGTGGAGCTGTATGGTAGGTGTTTCTAATAAAGTGGTCAGGGTGTGAAAGCACAAGTTGGGTGTTTCTAATAAAGTGGCCAGTGAATGGAAGCAAAAGGTAGGTGTTTCTAATAAAGTGGTCAGGGTGTGAAAGCACAAGTTGGGTGTTTCTAATAAAGTGGCCAGTGAATGGAAGCAAAAGGTAGGTGTTTCTAATAAAGTGGCCAGTTAGTGGAAGCACAAGGTGGATGTTTCTAATACAGTGGCCAGTTAATGGAAGCACAAGGTGGATGTTTCTAATAAAGTGGCCAGTTAGGAATACCACAAGGTAGGTGTTTCTAATAAAGTGGCCAGTTAGTGGAAGTACAAGGTAGGTGTTTCTAACAAAGTGGCCAGTTAGTAGAAGCACAAGGTGGGTGTTTCTAATAAAGTGGCCAGTTAGTGGAAGCACAAGGTGGATGTTTCTAATAAAGTGGCCAGTTAGTAAAACCACAAGGTAGGTGTTTCTAATAAAGTGGTCAGTTAGTGGAAGCACAAGGTAGGTGTTTCTAATAAAGTGGCCAGTTAGTGGAAGCACAAGGTAAGAGTTTCTAACAAAGTGGCCAGTTAAATGTCCCACCGTCTTTACTGGTGATGCCAGTGCTGCTTTTTCAGGTCACATGACATTATATGACGTCATTTGTTTAGTGGCTGATTACGGACTCATGTACTCATGTACAGTGATGTGTTGCTGCCCTCTAGTGCTGGAGGTGAAATTGCCTGACAGGACAGATTCAGATACCTCCTCGTGTTTCTGTTAGCAATATCAGGAATTTTTTTTTCTTTTGAGTGTGTTTTTGTCTCTCTCTCTCTCTCTCTCTCTGCTTTTGAAAAATGGTGAAAATCTTATAAAATCTAAAAATAGAATTATTCAGCTTTTACATTTCAGTAGCTGAACGAAAGCGCTGACGGTGTTTTCGGCTCTAGTGTTTTTCCACAGTCGCTACAGCGGGTTATGTAAGGTCATGTCAAGGCTTGCGTCCGTCTTATTGGCTCATTCGCCTGTCTGTTTCTGTTACGACCAATAGGATGTTCGCGCCGTCTGACACGGCATTGGTGGATTCATATTACTGCCCGCCTTCGTGACGTCGCGCTACGAATTTAATTGGTCAACGCAGAGACGTTTAAATTTGAAATTTAACCGGCGGTTGAGTTCCCTGTTCAACCGCTGCAGCTCCAGAGCGAGGATTCTGGTGGAGAGGAGGGAGGCGTCGGTCTGTCTCTGAAGAAAAGCGAGTTTAAGTCATTATTCCGCCTCTGCTGCTGCTGACTCTAACTACAGATAGAGGTAGGTTTACGAACAAGCTCTTATACGGGATGTCGACAAAGTAAAACATTGTAAAATGCCACTTTTCACCTTGTTTTGAATGTGAAGTCACTTGTCTCTGGCAGCGTGACGTTAACTACGTTAACCTAGGAAGGTTAGATTCCCTTCGCGCTGCTGATCATCTTTCTGTAATACAGTGTTCCTTTCTCTGGGTCGCTTTGACCGTGTTATCATGTCATTTAAGGTGAAGTAAAGCTTGATAAACAAGTCTAACGTCATTAAGAAACGTTACTGATGTTCTAGGTTAACCTAATGAGGTAAGACAGCTCAATGTTGAAAACTTCAGTAGCTTCGAAATAACTTCATAGGTTTGCTAAGGTAGTGTAATGAAAATGATCCATCCCATAAGTCAAAATTAGCTCTTCTAGGACAGTAGAACATGTTTACGTAATCTAACTTACTTACTTAACCTATCTAAATGCAGATCTGGCATCTTAAATTCCACCTATTTTTCAAAATGTCTCCATAATTCAGTGTATGAGGTGTAATCAAAGAGATTCAGAGTGGTTTGGTGTGAAATGGTTCAGATTTCTTTACAGTGGTGGTGATAGGAACCAGGGGTCGCCATGACTGCAACACAAATATAGACATTTTATTTACTATCCAAAACCACCAGTGAACCTACACGAGTCTTCAGAGTTTATATGGAATGTTGATGATAGAAAATAGTAGAAAATCTAAAATAAAAAAAATTCTTTGGGGCCTAACGTAATGTTATTTTGCCTGCCAACACCCTTTTTGTGTCTTCCCACTGTTGATTATACTTACGCTTTAGACCAAAAACTTCCTCAAAACTACCGTAAAACAGTGTCTCAGTCATCAGGCAGTGAATTCATAACCATTTCATGTTAATAACTTTCTGTGAGGGAGCTTTTAGAGGTGGATGTCTGGTTCCTATCACCACCACTGTGAACAGTTCTGACTTGGTAAGTTTCTTTAGAACAGAGAGCTTCACACCAAACCACTCTGAACGACTTTGATACATTAACCATATAAGTATTTAGAAATTTTGAAAAATCGATTGAGTTCCCCTTTTACACACTGAGCTGTCCACACATGTGCCTTCAGCAGGCACTGAATGGTGAGAGTCCTTTGATGACTAAACAGCACTATTGATGATAAAGTATGAAGCACGGCTGTCGATACTTCCTCCAGATATGAGGAGTCGGAACAACTCATGGTTGTCATGTTTATTGGCATTGCAGCTTCCCCTTTTCCCCAAATGTAGCACACAAGACATCTTTGGTATCTGAAGTGCTTCTTTAGATTTGCACTAGTGCTAAAAATGCAGTTAGGATGTCACTCAGTGTTTTTGCACTACTGTAAAACTATCACTAACTTGAGACGCCAGACATGCTTTTGTGGTCCACCTACTGTTGGGTTGAGGGGGAATCTGTGTAACCCACATTAGATTTTTCAGCAAACGTTCCTAAAGAGAGTGGGAATGTTTGGAAGTGTGTGACTTGGCAAAGCTGATAGTTTATTGTTAATTTTAAATAGAAGTTCCTGGGTCATGGAGAGAGGGCCCGTAAACGGTAACTATAAACTCTTATCTTGTAAGTCATGTCGAGTCATGCCATCAAGGGATCGGAGGTGAAGCTAACCATTCGATCATTAGATTTTAGTCTGAATTACAGTGTAGTATGCAAGGAAGAGCTGTAATCTAAAATTAGTTTTTCCTCTCAGTCTCTGCCTTTCTCTTGAAGGCATGATCCACTGTCACTGATGGGCTTTCTCTTCAGTTTTATACTAACACTTGGATCACGGTTGGGATTTTACACTGGCAGTGCCAACAGCCTTTTCCCTGCCACACACCAGCTGACTGATTCAAACCACTATTGACCTATTTCTGCACAATGGCTGTTCACTTTCTAGGCTTCTTGCAGATAGTTGTGGTTAAATGGGGTATGCAGACTGTTTGAATCACCAGCATTTGACTTATGGAGGAACTTTTCATGACTGGTCCCACGCAGCTTGTGTAATCTCCATAGAGAAGCACTGACCAATAGAATGGGACACTCTGGAGCAGCTGCACATGAGCCTAAAGTCTCCATGCCCAATGCCAAGCATGGACTAGAGGAGTATAAAGCCCCCCAGCATTGGGCTGTGGAGCAGTGGAACTGTGTTCTCTGGAGTGATGGAACTCCATCCAGTACCTTTAGGATGAGTTGGAGTGGTCTAGAACTGACCATCCAACATCAGCACCTGCCCTCACTAATGCTCAATCAAATCCTCACAGCAATGTTCTAACATCTAGTGTAAAGCTTTCCCAGAAGAGTAGAGGCTGTTACTGCAGCACAAACTCACTATTAACACCATTTCAGTAGAAGCGATGGAGGAGCAGGTGTTGACAAACTTTTGGATATAGAAGGTCACTTATTTGCCTGGCTGTTGTGGTTTATAGTCTCTCTGGCCAATAGAGCTGCAAGAAGCTCACACATTCATTTCTATTGGATCAAATTTTGCTTCTTGAAGTTTGACATTGCTGAGATCACAACACACAATGTGATTTTATTAAAAATTAATTATCCAGCTCTACTGGCTAACATGACTCGTCACTTTCAAAAAGAATTTGCTACATTGTCGCTGTTGTAACAACCTCACATTGGGGTAATTTTAAGAGTTTTGGTCCTTAATTGTAACTACATTAATGTATCATGCAGAGTTTTTGGGCTGTTTCTGCTGATCCATTCTTCATGAAATGTCCACACAGTGTAAGAGGGAACTGGTGTTTTTTCAAACATTCCAATAATAAATAAACCAATAAGTTTTCATTGGCACTGTACAACAAAGTTGATCAGAATAAATCTGCACTCCAGGCAGCCGAATCTTACTGCATGTGACTTTTTACCCGGTTTTATTCATACAGCTTGTGACCTGGCTGTTTATTTAGAGTGCCAGTCTTTCAGGCTTATCAGTAAGCCCAGCTGGTTACGGTACTTGAAGTGCCCACTGGGAGTGGCTTTTCTCATGTCGTCACCCTTACGCTCCAGTTTGTTCTCTCCCTCTCCAGTATGAGTTCAGTGGTGGTGAACGATGAGAATCAGGGAGTTTGCCCTGTACGGAAGCACGTCACGTCTGAAGCCGCAGCTGACATTTTTGCCCTGGATCAGCCGACTGGCAGGCCGTCCATTCTGCGACAGTCGCAGTCTGAAAACATCAACAAAAACGTGCCTAAAGGAGTGAAGGTGAGCTAAAGAAGGTATTGCTTATTGCTTGCCTAAACTAATTATGCTGTAGTGCTGGATAAAATGTCTGTACCAGTTAGTGGCCCACCAATTTGGGGAAGATATCAATTTTATCCCTCTACTGCATGCATTATGATAGCAATTTAAAATCACTACCCTGTATAAAATGGTCTTTGTTTATTAAATTATATCATTATAGAACTATATATAATGATTATTAATAATCTGTCCTGATTATTACATTCAAAAACATAAAAAAAAAAAAAATAGAGCCATGTTCCCTGATGTGGTGAGACCTGGCTTGTGACTGGCTAAATCCATTCCACTGTCGCATGTCAGTGTTACTGCAGTGCTGAGAATGATCCACCACCCTAATAGTACCTGCTCTGTGAGGGTCCATGGGGGTCCTGACCACTGAAGAACAGGGTAAAAGGGGGCTAAAAGTATGCAGAGAAACAGATGGACTACAGTCTGTAACTGTAGAACTACAAAGTGCACCTATATAGTAAGTGGAGCTGATAAAATGGACATTGAGCATAGAAACAAGGAAGTGGTCAGAATGTTATACCTTATCGGTGTATTTAGAAGGTATTATGGTAATGTTCTTAATTAATATCATACAGCTTTTATCAAAATCTGACTCAACTCTGGTCCCCTGACCCTAACTGTCATTGTGCACTCTTGCGAAGGTTGCTTTGGTTGTACTTGCCTCTTTTTTGTTTTCCCCTAACCATTTAGAACAAAAGTTCCTTTTCTTTAACACATGAGCTACTTATTTTCTCATATTGCTGATTTTCTCAATGTGCTCATTGTTTTCTTTCTGTAATCTACTTGCTGTAATTGAACTTTGTCCTTATGTTAAATGCTTGGAGTCAGTTGAAAATTGTCGTTTTGTTTTTGATGGAGAGAATTTGGATGTCAGTGTCCTTTTTGTTTTCAGTGTTTAATCATTTGTTTTGCTTGCTGCTGCCTCCCCAGGTTTGTTTCCAAACCCCACGCAGAGACCCAGTCACTAAGAAGATTATGTCTCCAAGCCGTGTCGGCAGGATGACTTCTCTGGACGATTGCATGGCCGCTCTAGAGTCTCTCTCTCTGACTTCTGCTGCTGAGTGAGTGTTAACCTGTTCTTCAATGAGGAAGGTTATTTTGCAGTTCTTGGCTTCTACGAAGGCTGCAGTATTCGTATTACTACCTTGGCCTTTGCAATTCTGACGTTACATGTGGCGTTTACCAAAACAGAATTTCTTCTCTAATATCCAGAGCTGAATGTTCATGGAATCATGTTGAATTCATCGTTGAATCATGTTGATCATAAGAAGCTTAGTTAGCTTGTGGAAGAACTGTCCAGCTTTATTGAAACAGTGAGTTTGCTAAAGATTTTCTAGACGCAGATTAAGCCTGACCCTAAATCAAGAAGAATCTGTTGGTGCTGCCTCAAATCTAGTACAAGATTAGGCTTAGTCCATGTCTGAGGAACCAGGTCTATAAGCTAGCTCAAAATGATTCTTGTGCTGTGAAATTCAGCTTTATAATAATACTTCTTATATTCATAATGTGCCATATTTTCCAGGACACCTGCTGAACAAAGTGTTCCCGCAGCACCAGTTGATGTCCCAAGTAAAAACGAAACTCCATACCCTGATGATGAAATGCCCATTCAGAGCAAAGGAGGCTACACAATCGATTTTGACAACCTGGAGTCCATAAATCCTTTTCAGAGCACCTCACTAATGACCCTGTCACCACCCAAACCTGCTGTTTTATCAAGCACTATGACCCCACCAGAGCCAGAACAACTTGATGTGGTGTCTGTTCCTTCGCTATCTGCCCTTGAAGAGGTGGAGAAAGCTCCAGAAAAGCCAACTCAGATGGACATGGCCCTGGATGAGACTATCCCTCTGAGCCAGTCTGTTGAAAACTCCCTGGCAGATCTATCTTCAGATATGCCCTCCACAGACACCACAGTGATCATTGGGCAGAGAAGTTGTGGAACACCCATCATGGATCAGAGCACTAATGACACTGAGAATCTGGAGGTTCCTGCACCAGCTTCCATCTCGGATAGTGTTCCTGTTAAAGAAGAACCCTCAGATGCTGTGGATTCTCCATTACCACCTAAAGGATCCTACAGCTTTGACTTTGATAATCTTGATTCAGTGAATCCTTTTCAAACCGGTGGCTCAAAGCTTCAAAACTCACCACCTCTTGGCAGAAAATCACCCATCAGCAATTCTCCACCTCCAAAAATAGAGGAACCTAAGAAAGATGAGGTCGTCCCTGAGGCCATTCAGACAGTTCCAGAGAAGCCTAGCCAACCAGAGGTGAAGCCAGTCACCCCTGAGCCACCTGCAGTTATTACTACAACCGAAAGCACTTCATCTGAACCGCCTCCAAAAGACGGCCACATGGTACTGGAATTTAACTTTGACGATGGCGCAGAAGTCAAGCGCAAGCCTCCTCCCAAACGCCTTGGCGTGAAGAGACCCCCAGGGGCCAAACCAGCCTCTAAGAAACCCACCTCTGCTCCAGCGGAGAAGAAATCCCCAGAACCCAAACCTGAAGCTCGTGATGCACCAGTTGAAACAGCACCTGTGGAGATCCCCGTCGCCAAAGGCTCTTACACTTTTGAGTTTGATAAGTTTGATGATCCCAACTTCAACCCGTTTGGTACGAAGGCTAAGATGGGTAACTCTCCTCCTCGTGGTGATAAGATCAGTCCGGTGAAGAGTGAAGAACCACCGGCTCAGGCACAGCGGCCCACAACACCAACACCACCTGACAACCAGCCAGAACAGCAAGGCAGCGTGGCCAGTAATGCACACAGGTCAGAATCTTTCACATGATTTACAACTTACTGTTCCAAACTGCCATGGTTGTGATGTCACAACACATGGGGGTTTGGTTGTCTCTGATTGGTCTGTTATCTACAGGCAGTTCATAAGCTCTTATTAGGTGCAGTTTTCCCCTCTTAAAACACATTTTTTTTGCTAATGTGCACACTTAAAAATGGTTCCTCAAGGGTTCTTTAGTAAAGACAGTGGTTCTATATAGAACCATAAACATTCAACGACTTCTTTGCATGCACTTTTTTGAATGGCTCTATATAGGACCCTTTATGGTGCTATATAGCACCATAATACATTCTCCATCAATCTTAGGAACCATTTCACCATGCAAAGAACCATTTAAGCATGCAAATGGTTCTACATAGAATGATTGTCTAAACTAAAGAACCATCATTTTAAGGAACCTTGAACTCTTGCGATTTGAAAATTGCAGTTGTGATTTCGATATAAAAATGTCATTTTTTTTCAGCTCTAGTAGTTGATGTCCATCAGTTTGTGACAAAAAGGCCTGAAAAGGACCAGACGGTTTGTCCACTTGTCTGGATGGTTGGACCTGTTTGGTGCAATAGCTGTTTGACACGCATTTGCAAACCTCCTCTGAGGCACCTTAGGTGTGCAGCATAAGTTTCTGAGTTAAATTGAGCTAAGTTTAGGTTGGCTAGCTGAGCAAGCCCTGCTTTGTTAGAGGCTCCAGCTGTGTTACGTTAGTTTTGGTATCGGTTTGAGCAACAATGAGTTGAAATAAAGGGTCACTTAACATTCAGGACAAAGGAAAATGTTTGGATGGTTTTCCTGAGACTTCTTTTGAACAGTAGTTTTACTCCAGCTGAGTTGCAGTTCAGCTCATGTATTGAAAGTGATTTTGTTTAGGTTGATTTATCTTGGTGTGGAACTGTGTATTTGATCCTCTCAAACTTTTACAGTTCTCCTCCTTGTGACGGTATTGAAAAGACGACAGAAGCAGAGCCATCATTGACTAAGGTAAGTGACGCTTTTATCCTAAACTCTATCCACCCTTAGGAGCTCAGTTCATTATCACTAAATACAGTTTCTTTCCTCTGTCGTGCAGGTGGAGGAAGAGACCAAGCCTTCCATAATTGAGTGCAACAGACCCTGCAGCCCAGCCAATCAGAAGCCAGTAGCCAGAGAGCTGACTCCTGAGCCCTGTCTGCAGAACCAAAGCACAGAGTTTGATTCAACTACAGCTGATGATGGGTTTTTGCCGGGCTCCATGTGTAAGTTTTCTGCAGTAAACAGAGCTGCTCAGTGTTGGTTATACCTCTTTCAGATGCATCCACTACCTCTGCATGGTGTGAGTGATGCAGACTGTGTTGCTTTTAACATAGGATGGCCTGTGTGAGCAGTACCTGCAGCACTGCTTCGGTTTCATGTCTAGCCAATATTTTGTGTTCATGTGCTTTTTTTGGGAAGTCTCTAGGCTTGAAATGACTTAAGTTAAAGGTGCACATGGGATTATTTTATTATATTCAGAACGAACAAACCTGTTATGGAGAACTAAAACGTATAGAGAACTAAAATACAAGGTCAGAGGAAGGGAAAGTACACATTTTCAAAAGTTTTTTTTAAAAAAAAAAAAACTGACTGTTATATCAATAGCAGTATGTCTCAATGTGACACACACCTATAAGGATTAAATATGTACCCCTCTTGTGCCTGTGCACATCTGTGTCCAAACACTTTGGCAGTTTGTCGTACGCTGCCACCTTGCCCATCTGCCACGGTACTCTTTTTAGTATGTGATGAAAATGGTTGGTACTTACAGAGCCCTGAACTACATGGCTCAGATTTAGACCAATTAGACAGCCTGTAAACAGCCAGGGTAAATTAACTGTATAGTATGCTTAACCTGTTCCTTGTTACCTTAGTTTTTCACTCATTGTCGGCTTATTTTTCTCAAACATTTAATCAAAAATGAGTTTGTTTTAGCTTGTTTTCAGGTCTTAAGATTAGAATGATAGTTTTACATTGTTAAAAGTATAACTATTAAAATCTTGATACTTTTGACCACCCTTACTGAGTGTCCCACATCTTGCTTTTCTTATTTTTTTTCCAACATTTACTAAATTTTTTTTTTCTTTTTTCTCCGTAGTCATGCCTAGTGACTTAGATGGACAGATTGATTATTTGGAGCAGTTTGGATCGAGCACTGTAAGTAGCTGTTGACTTATTTCTCAGTTTTAATTGTATGCTTTTTTGGGGAGATTCTGATTTTTGTGTGTGTGTGTGTGTGTGTGTGTGTGTGTGTGTGTGTGTGTGTGTAGTTTAAGGAGTCTGCCCTGCGAAAGCAGTCTCTGTACCTGAAGTTTGACCCGCTGTTGAAGGAGAGCCCTAAGAAAGTAGCAATGGACACCAACTCTGCGTTCAGCCTGCCACGGCCCTCCCTTGCCATCCGGTCAGTCACCTGGACAGAACACAAATGTTTAACTGATCTGTAAACTTTTAAAGATGTTTAATTAATCATACCATTTTTTGAGTGACCACTTTTGAGCCACAAACAAACAGCACATCTCATCAGCACATCTCATCAGCACATCTCATCAGCACATCTCATCAGCACATCTCATCAGCACATCTCATCAGCACATCTAGGGATGCACGATGATATCATTATCTTAACACTGTTGGGGGGAGATTTGACGTAATTATTGAACTCTAGAAGTGCAGAGTATTTCACTGAAGCTAGACTACTGTGGTAAATATCAGAGTTTTATTCAATTTACTGCATTTCTAACTCGAGAAATAAATGTTATTTTTGTTTAATGGTAATCCAGACAGATTAGGTACAATTTATACCTTTTAAAGTACTGGCCTCAGCAGATGTGTATAAGGAAAAAATAGTGCATCAGACATCAGTGCATGTCTAATTAGAACACATCTTGTGCTAAGAGTCTGACACTACTTGGATTGAATAAGAACACTGGTTGTCCTTAACTAGACACGTGCATGTTGGAATAACGTTCAGCACTGTTTAGCTGGGGTGTTTAATAACTGGTTTCATATTGCTTGGTGTAACTGACACCAGATATGAATGTTAGAGATGGTTTATTTTTTATTTGTTTTAATTTTTGAATAGTCACAAGTTTTAAAAAATTGAAAAGTTTAGAATGTTTGAGCATTTTAGCTCCCCTCTAACATTTTATACATTGTCGAATTTAAGTGCCATGAGGTGTTGTTTGAGCACTTTTCAAACAGTACCTTACAAATTTGAATGCCAAATTTGATCGAGATGCCCGTCCCTGATGAGCTCTGGGTGTGTTGCAGGATGATGGAGGCCGCTCGGTCTGAGGTGCGGCAGAAATCTCGGCAGGAAAGCCCAAAGCTGCTGGAAGATTTCCCTCCACTGGTAAGATACCTACTCACTCACAGGTACATATACATGTAACAGTTTTGAACATAATGTGGGTCAGTCACAGCCTTACAAACGCAGGGTTCTTAATTTGATATTTTTTTTTACAAATACCAGTTTTTAAGGAACTAAAAATTCCAATAACCATAATAGGATTTAATTCTCAGCTGCTGTCCTGCCTTTGTGTTCACACAAAGTTAAAAATGGTTTTTAAAGTCCTGAGTCTTGCTGTTTAATTATATCCTTGGTTATTTTTCTGAATGAGCCCGACTGTGGTTCCTTTTCTCTGCCTACAGGTCGAAGTCCCAGTGGTGCAGGACCCCACTGTGCTGGACCTGCTGGTGCCCACCCTCAAACAGCCACAGAGGAGTGAGGACGTCATCGTGGATGTGCTTATGTACAGTCAGAAGGACATGGACGCTGCCATGGAGAGGGCACGTAAACAGGTGAGCGCCGAGAAAGGAAAATCCTGGGAACACTGAATGGACAGAGAATACTGAAACTGAACAGCTCCTTTTGCTACCATGCTCTTTAAAACTTTGGATGCCTCTTTGCAAATTCTTTTGTAAGACAAATAAGCATCGTCTTGAAACCTAAGCAGGTTTATTTAGAGTAACCTTGTAAATATTTGTCCCAATATAAATGATGGCAATAGCCAAAAGCCATACATTTTGTTTAGATGTTGGTGCTCAAACCTTTCAGGTGTTTAAATATGTACCTTTAACAACAGTTTGGAAAAGAAAGCTGTCATGATGGTTGGTTTTCAGGTCAAAACCTAAAAGTCATACCAAGGAGGACATTTTGATGAACATAAAGTGTTGTAGATAAATATGCACAGAGCTGCTTTGATAAGCACTTTGCAGGGCTTTTTTGGCTTTTGTTAAAAAAAAAGGGGAGAACAGGGAAAACTCAAACTTTAAAATAAGGCAAGACATCCAAACTTTTACAGGCAGTGTAGTGTAATGTGCACTAAACCTGAGTGTGTGGTAGGGAGAGAGTAGCAAGTGTTTCATAATTAGTATTTGGAAGATAATGTCTTGTTTTCCTCTAGGCTGTGGAGAAGGAGGAGGAACTGAAGGCTGAGATGGAGAAGCTACGTCTCGATAACCAACACATGGTGTAAGCTTCCTTATGTATTAATCTCCCATATCTTTGATTTACCTACATGCAGAAAAGTGAATGGAGCATTGTTTTTCCACCCTCAGGTTAATTGTGTCAGAGTTTGAGGCAGTTATTGCTCAGATCACAGGTATGTTGTACTTTCTTGGATCCCCCCCCCATGTAGAAGATGGGACCAGTATTATCTCACTTTAGACATGACCCCATTGTAAATTTGTCTGTGTGCTGTGGTTTTGCAGCGGAGCACAAGCAGAAGGAGGAGCTGGCGCAGGCAGAGCTGAGTAAAGTCCTTCAGGAAAAACAGCAGCTGGCTAAAGACCTGAACGATATGGAGCGATCATTCTCTGACGTCGTCAAACGCCTGGACAGACGCAAGGAGGTCATTGATGGCTTCAAGAAGGTGATCATCTCACTTTGTCTTTAATTTGAGTGCAGTCTGAGTATCTGAGTTGAGTGCAGTCTTGACGAATGAGCTGGCGCATCATATTAGATGTTTCTATTAATGTCTTTGCAATAATACAGCACAGTGACTCACATCCGGAGTTATAAGGCTATGAAGAGAAGCTGAGATGCATGCCATCTGCCAGTTGAATGCATTGTAAAAGGCATGAACTGTTCCCAGTGTTCAGTATTCATACTCTGAACTTTGATAAATATGGTCCGCCGTGTGTAACTGGCGGATTTTTGGCCATCTGCCTCTCACCTGTAATTTGTGGATTTGTGTGGACAAATGGACGCTTAGAAAATCACTAAGGACTGACCATCATGCTAGAAACCCTTCATTCTTCATTCAGTCCACATCGGAGACACATGGCTTGTAAAGAGTTTACATCTGCTGAAGTTGCTGCAGCTGATTTTGGAAAATAGAATAACGTTTATCTACTATTTTGTTCATACATTCCACCACTTTTGTGAACCTGAGACTTTCAAGATTGAACATGAAAATGAATTATATGGTGCATAAACCCCACACAAACATAATTAGACTTCAAGGAAAGAAAAAATTAAAGAATATTTGACCTTTTTAGAGAAATTAAATCATACAGTTTGCTGCTGTACATTTGTTTTTCTAGTTTTGAGTGGTACTAAAATAATTGTACTTGAAAGCTGAAGTGATGGTGCAGCTCGTCTTTATCTGTTCTGTGTGTTTAGAATGAGGAGACGCTGAAACAGTGTGCGCAGAGCTACCTGGCCAGGCTGCAGAAAGAGGAGCAGCGCTACCAGATGCTGAAAACTCACGCAGAGGAAAAGATTGACCAGTAAGAACTTTAGTATGGTATTTTATTGGCAAAATGCAGGTGTGATTCTCTGATCTGTGATTTTTAATCTTTTAATTTTTAAATTCAATCCATGTTGGTCAGTTTTAGTATCTTTAAAAATATACTGAATATATGAATGTGACAAGTATATATTTGTGTTGTGAAATGCTGGCAAAAAGTGCTACTGATCTCCTTTTTTCAGTAGTTGTGATCAGGTTATAACTTTTAAAAGACAACGCATTTAAAATGTCAGTGTTATCAATCTCTAATAATGGACGTAATTTTGTGTTGATGTTTGCAGGGCGAATAAGGAGATAGCGGAGGTCCGCTCTAAACTCGGAGCTGAAGTTTCAGCTCTTCAGGTCCAGCTGCGAAGAGAGCAGCTCAAAGTGCAGTCACTGGAGAAGAACCTGGAGCAGAAGGTATAAAGGCTGCCACTGACACTCGCGCGCGTGCACACACAGCAGTGAATAAATGTAATAGAGACCGCTTATTTTAAGCAATAGAACACGAGAGGGAGTGTTATTCGCGATAACACACTCCTCAAGTGTTCTATTGCTTTAAAACAACAGTTAAATAAATAAAGTAATAAATTAATAAACTGGGCCGTGAACGCGGCGTTTAGTATGTTTTAATGTTCGCGGTTCCTTCACCAAATTATAGTTCCTTAACGAGCAGCTTGTTGCTACGTCAGAGTAACGAGCTCCGCCCACTCGCTGCACAGCCGGCAGTTCGTTCTCCAGCTCCTTACACTAAATTCCCAAACTGTCATCACCACTGAGCAGCTTTTCAGTCGGCAGCTGTGACAGAAGAACAGCTGAACAACCTGGAATCAGCCAGAAATGAACCCAACACCATTTGTGATAAAAAGTGATGTTATTGCAAAATAACAGCACGGTTAGAACGCTTATCAACCAATCAGCTTGCATGGCCGGAACTAACTGTTGTATAATGTAGATCATCACACTGGAAAAAAAAAAAAATAGCTGTAACGTATGTTAACAAGGTTTTATTCCAAATCAGTTAGGACCCTCTTTATATTGGTTCACTCATGGAATTAGTGCACTGTAAAGAGCAGCTGATGTTTTCATATGGGGATATTTAAGAAACAAGTGAAAAAACAAATAAAAAAGAAAAGTATAATTAAAAAAAGGTTTAACTGAAATTGTGTGACTGAAGCATCAAACTAATTAATGCTGCTATGGTTTAACCAAGAAATCATCACCAATATGATTAATAATATATTGCTGCATTCAGTTGAAGTAACTCGATCACTTGATCTTGCCTGGTCGTGTTTTTTTGACGTGTTCTTTTATTTCTCTTTTCAGACGAAGGAGGTGGAGGATGTCACCAAGCTGTGTGATGAGCTGATTATGAAAGTGCAGAAGCACTAAATTTTATTAGTTCTGTCTGTATATCTGTGTCCGTCTGTCTCTTGTTCTTGTTCTTGTTCTTTACTGACTAAATAAAAAAAATATTTACAACGTACACACTGAGTGCTCACTGAATGTGGAAGTTTACCCAATGTTGTTTTGAATAAAGATTATGTATAGGTAAAAGATGTTTTTCGCTGCAGTGAACACTCAAACACAGCAACCACTTGCACTACTGAATTCAGCTTTGATTCAAATGTGGCTTTTTTCTTATTCTATTCTAAGGCGTTTAAACCATGCTTTATTGTCTTTAATCTACATCTATTAGCATTTATTTAGCAGTACCTAGTAAGAACGTGTAGAGATTGTATATTTGGGGTGGGGTGGGGGGAGAAAATGGCAAATCTGCATGAAAAGTTGACCAACATGAAGCTGTATTTGCTGCTTGATTTTGAGGTTTAAACTCAATCCTGGATATTCTGAGACATGACCAACAATAATGTTTGTGTGGTGCAAAGTTGCTGTGTAATTCTAATAATGGTGCATTAGTGTACATGTGTTGTCTTGCCTTTGTTTTTCTTTAAAGTGGCTCCTGTTTCCCGCTACAAAGGGGAATAAATAAAATTATACCATATTAAATAAGCAATGCTCAATCCCAAATGGCTCCCTACTCCCTAGATAGTGCACTGCACAGGTCTTGACACTGCCTAGATGGTGCCATGAATGCTGCTTTTTGCCGAGTCTGAATAGCTTTCGATTAGACATAAAATGCACTGTTTGTGCAGAAGCCGTTGTTTCATTACCTACATAGGGCGTATGGAGCCATTTGAGAAACGACCCTACAAACGGCGTAATACACGCTTTCAACAATTATAGAGAGATTCGTAGAATCATCTGTAACCTCGTCCAGATGAAGTAATAGAACTGGCCTGCAGGACACATTTATGTTTACACTAAGGTGACCGGGGCAACATCTCAAATGGCTCTATGCTCCCTACGTAGTGCGCTGCCTGAGTCTTAAAATAATCGCTCCTGCGCACAAACAGTACATTTATATGTATAATAAAGATTCGCCCACGTGTGCTTCCTCATTTCAGTGCGACATTTTAGTGAAGAAGCCACAATTTCACAACTCACACTTCGCACTAGGTAGGGAGTAGGGGGCCGTTTGAGACGCAGCCCGATTGAGAGCCTGTCCTCCAGGCCTGCAGGTGGCGCAGCGATAGTAAAGCGCTGTAGAGATGGGTTTACCTCAAAACCCGCCGCGCCAATTTTGAAGTGTTTTGATGTCGATTAGAAGATTTTTTGGCTTTTTTGTTTTTTAGAAATGACACATAACACAATGAACCCCAAAGGAAAAGGTACTGTTACTGATTTCGCTGCTTTTGGATGAATATTAGAGGCGCTTTGTTTCAGCTCTTCACTGTTTTGTGTGATGATAACAGAGCTAAGTGTCAATACGGGTAACTGGGTTAGCCAACACCAGCTAAATGAACTCAAACCGAATATTTAAATACGTTTAACTTTTATTAGTTCTATATAGATGCGGCTCGACGGTAAGCAGTATGATATAAAAAGCTTCGTGGGCAGAGGAAGCAATGTTAACTTTGTTTTTGTACGAGGCTTAAATTTCTTCCTTTACGAACTTTCCCGTTCCACCTTAAATAGTGCAGCAGTTACGTTGTGGCTGCACCGTTTAAGGTGGAACGGCAAAATTCGACTAAGAAGCTGACTTGGTTTTGTTGTGTTTATGTTCCATATTTCGCTGCCCTGTAAAATCCGGCCACAACATCAGCTTCGTTAATCAAAAACCTGTTTTGTTCGTTTAATTTCGACCACTTTAGAACGAAAAGCACGGCTAATAAAGGGTTTTTATGATTTAACACGACTAACAAACACCATGTGGCCCATTTTCACAAAACAGCAGCTTTAAACAGTGTTTATGAATATTTAACATATATAATTTAGTGGATCAATTGGGCTCTGTTTGGTGCAGTAAGAAGCTCATTTAAAATAATAATTTTTTATTTTAAACTTTTTTAAAACCCTAATTCTCACTCATTACCACACCGTGTACACACATGTGCTTCTCATCATCATTTATTATTTCAAACAAAACGTAAAATATCTTTAAATGTTGACTCGCTTGACTTTGATACTTTCCTTATCATTTCTAAGGAAGTGAACCAGAATAAAAATGTTTTATGACACATCCTCAATGGCAGAAATGCCAAAAATACAACATTTGTGTGTGAATTTTTTTTTAATAATCAGCATTGAAAACAGTATGTAGATTATGAAAACAGAAGTTTGGAGAAGTGGACTTACATTATTACGTTACATTATTGACATTACTTACATTATCTTCCAATCCTGCTGTTTTTTTTACTTAATCGGAAAATGTTACTAAAAGCAAAGAAATCATTCAGGTTTATTTTTAATTGTTCAACTTGGTAGGTCTTTTTAATTTTTAATGCTGCATCCCAGTTTTTATCCTGTTTGTGAGAATAAAACATTCGTTTTTGCTGTAATGCCACAGAACGGTTGGAGAACACACACGGGCAAACAGGCAGTTCATATAAATATGAATATACATCTTAAACGTGGAGAAGCTTCTGCCTGAATCTGATTCTTATGAACGAGTGCACAGTTAAAATGATGAGTGAATAATATCTTTGCACTGATGTTGAAGTAATTGTGTTTAAAGAGAACTGACTGCTTACAGTTACAGCGTCCTTGTTATCAACCCTAAGAGCTCAGTCTTGTTTTTATCCATGCAGGGTCTGGAGACACAACCTTACCTCTCCAGTCCAGCAGGTAGGTTCATTTCTACGTACTGTACCACAGGTAGTCTGCAGAGGAGGGTAAAAGCAGCCAAAGACCAAAACTGTATTGTTATTTCAGTTAAATAAACTCGACTGCAAGTAAAAATGATTCTCAAGAATCAAATTAAATTACAGAACTGCACTAGAGGGGTTCTTTGGGTGTTCATGGTTGTATATAGAACCATTTTCCTCAGTATAGAACCCTTAAAGAAGTGTGTCTCTGTAGAGAATGTGCTCATTTATTTTAACAGAATGTGCAGTTTGGTCAGGGTGCCGACACTTACGCAAAACAGCTGTAAAAATAAATAGTCTTTATGTAAAAGTCTGATTTGTTACAGCTCAGCTCTGCCAGACTGTCCGGCTCTGCCAGACTGTCCGGCTCTGCCAGACTGTCCGGCTCTGCCAGACTGTCCGGCTGTGTCCTGTTTCGCTCTCTGATGTTTTGTCTCTGTGTTTGTTCCTAAAGCAGTGATGGAGACGCCATTAAGGTGTATGTGCGCGTTCGACCTTTGACCCAGGGCAGCGGGTTGACCACAGATGGCGATCGGAGTTTGTGTCTGACGGTGACGTCGCCCCACACCGTGCGCCTGCACTCCAAACCCGAGCCGCGAACTTTCACCTACGATCACGTGGCTGATATGGACACGACTCAGGTGAGCACTGAGAGCAGGACTGATCTGGGAAATGCGGACGGCACATCAAACACAAACACCACAGAGCTCCCAGCTGATCTGGGGTCTGTTCATCATTCCTCTAGGTCGGGGTGTAGCGATTCAGTTTCTCAGATTTGATATAGCTTTCATTTCCAAGGTTAAGATTTGATTCAAATTTCTGTTATTTTATGTGTTAAAATATCTTGATTTTAATTGTGTGTTCCATCGGGTTAAATGGGGTGGGCGATATGGCAGAAATACCAAATCATGATACTTTCATGACATCTTCAGGATTTATGTTACATATCAATATTTCCACACACAGACAGCATTTAAAAACCGCACCGAAACCTTTTTTTAAGTACCAGCTGTAGCTACAATATACTCAAAAAAGCATGTTGTTTATCATGATGACAAAATTGATCATGATTAAGATAATATATCGTCATTTTGCCCACCTCTTGGCTCAAATAAGATACAACACATGCCAACTTTATAAAATGTAAAAATCTGTACTAAATCCACCTAGATTGGCCTAAATCCACCTAGGACCCCAGGAAGAGTAGCGGCTATCATGATAGCAGCTAATGGGGATCCTATAAAAAACAAATAAACAGAAATATAACATTTAACATAATTTAATGTTTCATAATCGAAGTAAAACAAACTTATTATGATTTACCACGAGTCTGAGAATCTGGCGACTGTGATTAGTTCATGTAAACTTTTCTAGTAACTGTTACTTTTACTGTCTTATGTTGTTCTCTATAATATGATATTGAAAAATTCCTGAAATGTACTCGGTCCATTATGTTCTGATCGTGTCTGTTTTGCAGGAGTCTGTGTTCTCAAGCGTGGCGAAGAACATCGTGGAGTCGTGTATGAACGGTTATAACGGCACCATATTCGCATAGTGAGTCCTCGTCTGCTCTGTTTACTAGTCATTGATCAGTTTAAGTCAGATTCAGTAAATTCTTTCTGTTCTTCACACTGTGATGTTTTTTCCTCTCTTTCCCATGATACAGTGGACAGACTGGCTCTGGGAAGACGTTCACCATGCTGGGTAAGCAGAGTCCAAAACTTTATTGTCCAAAACTGCTTAACACAAATGTAGAGTCACAGTGGTTTAAAATCCCAACAATTCTATCAACAAATTTTAACTGAAGGTGTTTGTCTGAACACTCAGTTTAACGGACAGAACAGAAAAAATCTAATTTTTAAATTGAACATTTCTCATCTCTGATTTTCCCAAATCAATCTTTTATGAGTGCGAAACTCTTCAAATACTAAATAAATGAAATAGGTACCTAAATAATTTAAACATGACTAGATTAGGTATGTTTTTGAAAGGAATCAAATGTAGAATACAGTATAGCCAAACATTCATCATTCTGTTTGAGTTTTAGCAGATTGTAGTGTTGGAAAAAGTAACTTTTATAAATATTAACAATAAAGACAACAACAATAATAATGATGTTGGTAATAATGGTAATTCTTTATTTAGCAACTTTCATGCGTTAAAATGCAGCTTAAAGGGCCTTACGAGGAGGAAAGCAAATAAAAACCAAGAATCAGTAATAGAGAGAATAAAAACATTGTAAAGGGAATGAAAAATGAAAATTTAAAGTATAAA